GAATATTATAGCTAAAATATATATGATAAGGAGTTGTTTAGTGGTGTAAGTTCAAGAAGAATTGAGGGACTATTTTTCTAAAAAAGAGAATATAATTTACTTACTTTAATGCACTTAAAATAATAAATAAGTAAATATTAAGATAAATAGGCTAAGTAATAAGCTTAATTTTCAAAAACTTAAACCTTATAGGGTTTTAAAGTAAATTAAAGAAGTTGATTATAAACTTAATCTCTTAATATAAAAAAGATAATAAAAATAATTAATATACCTAATTTTTTATATATTACTATTTAAAAAAGCAGTAGTTAATTTAAATATAAATAAAATTATTTATAATAAAATTATAATAAAAAGTAAAGAACTTAAATATAAAGTTAAATAAATACTTTAAATTAAATTTAATAAAAATACTTAATAGCTAAAATACTTTATAAAATAGAAAAATTATAATAATACTAATAATATATAAAAACTTATTAAAAATTTTAAATACTTAAAGACCTTTATAAATAAGTTTTATTAATAGTTAAACTTATAAAAGTTAATAGTAAGGGATTTAATAAAAACTAATCTTAATTAATAAAGTTAATAAAAGAAACTAGAATATTAAAATTAATTAAGTTAAGTATAAATATTTTTACTTAATAAGTAGCTACTACTGCCTTATGCTCTGCCTTTTTTATATATTTTAACTTTTTTAAATTATTAATTTTATAAGTAATAGCCTTTTATATTTTTTTAGCCTATTTCTTTTTTTATATATAAAGATATTTAATATATACACTTACTTTAAGCTAGGCTTTTTTAGCCTACTTTAGCTTAAAATTAAAATTAGTATTTTTATTAGCTATATAATAAAGTTAAAATATAAATAAATTAAAAGCCTTATAGCTAGGCTGCTAAAAATAAATATAGCTTAAATAATAAAAAGAATTAGCTTTTAATATAAAATATTAATAATTATATTTTTTATAGTATTAATAAGGTTTTATAATTAATAGCTTAAGTAAGATTAACTGCTTTAAGGCATACTGCTAAAGTACTTAAAAAAACTTAAAATATTTATACTTACTGCTAACTATTCTAGTTAATATATAAAAAAAAGAATATATAAATAAAAAACACTTATAAAAAAGTAAAAGAACTATAGGTTTTAATAATATAAATAAGGTCTTAAAAATAAAATTAATAAAAAAAGGATATTATATTATAACCTAGCCTTATAGTTATAATAATAAGCCACCCTTAATAAGCAGTATTAAATAAATATTAAACTATTTAGCTAATTAAAAGCTACTTAATAAAATTAATTATTAAGTATATTAAAAATAACTTAATAAACTTAATAATTAAGTATATTAAGGATATTAAAATAATTAAATATATAAGTTATATTTATATTATTTATTTAAATAGTTTAGTTAGCTAGTTATTATTATTTTATAATATTTATAATATAAATAAATTAAAATTTAAATATTTATTATAAAAGTATATTAACTAGCTATATAATTAAATATACCTTAAGCACTAACTTAACTCTTTACTAATATAAACTTAAATAGCTCCCTTATTAAAGCCATTTACTTAAATAGTTTATCTTTTAAAAAATAGCATTCTTACTAATTATAAGAACCTAGTTTATTATATAAGCAGAATTTTTATAAAAAGAATAAGAAATAAAAAAATAGCTTATTTAGCTATACTAATAATATTAATAAAAGTTAAGGACTTTTTATTACTTAATTAAAATATAATTAGCTAAATATTTATTTTCTTTTAAGTTAATATAAGTTAAAGCAGGCCCTTTATTTAGCTAAGCTAAAAAGAAGTTTTATTAAAGTTTTAAAAGTTTATAACTATAATTAAAAGTATAGTAATAATATTCTTAAGTTTAATATATTAGGCAGTAATTTTAAAAAGGTTTAACTTAGCTTTAGTATATTATATTTTTTTAATCTTAGCTTTTTAAAAGTAAATTTTAAAATATTATTTTTTAAATTTATAAATCTAATACTTAAAGAGATTATTAACTAATTTAAATAATTTATAATAGTAAAAAAAGTTAGCTTAATTAATAAGGCAGGCCTTTATAAAAGTAAAAGTACTCCCTTTAATATACTATATATATATTATAATTACCTTCTTTTCTTCTCTTATTAAAGCTATAAGTAAACTTTTTTTTTTTAAGACTTTAGTAATATAATACTAGCTTTTAAATATTTAATATATTTCTTAATAAGGCTTTTTATTATATTAAAGTATACTGCTATTTTATAAATTATAAAAAGATATAGTAAATATAAATTTATATATATTATATAAGTAAATATTCTGCCTTTTATATAAGCGCAGGCTATAGTAATAATATAAGATACTTAATCTTTATTTAATTTTAGTATAATAAAGAATTAATAGTAAAGATTATAATATTAAAATTTAGCATTAATTAGGCTTAAATTAATAAAGTTATAGTATTATAAAGATAAAAAAGTTAAATATATATTAATATAAGATATAAATTAAATTCCTGCCTCTCTTATAAAAAGAGGCAGGGGCCTAGTGGCCTGGCTATTAGTTAACCCGCTAAGTATTTTCTTATATATAGGTACGCTTATAACTGACTTTATCCTAATCCCTAACTTAAGACTAACCCTATTACTAATAATTACCTCTAGCTTAACAGTTTGTCTTAAATTACAGCTGTAATAAATTAGGTATTAGGTGAGCTCTGCGAGCGCCTGCCAGTTGGGATATTTCTTTGCGGACCGGGAGCAAGTGTCTTGGTAAGTTGAGGCGTCGAGGTGATGCTTTTGTTGTTAATGCTTGAAGCTCTTGCTTGCGTGTTTGACACAACGAGCGGCTGCGGCAGACTGCAGGGGAGAAGTGGGCCTAGACAACGGCCCAGGCGGAGTAACAGGAATTATAACCGACAGCAACGCGTACAAGGTGGTGTAACTCTAACTCAGACCCAGGGTTATGGACGATGTTAAGGACTAGACGATGGACGAAGCAAAATGCAGAGAGAAGCGTCATCGTCTGGTGTGACCTTGCTGCGGCTTAACAACTTGCGTGAAACCACACCCACAGCACTAGCTCCTTCCCTGTCTGCGTCGCTCTTGACCTTGAGGATAGAACAATTCGGGGTTTCTTTCATCCCTTTTTTATTTCTAGATGTTTTTCTTCTTCTTTTCTTCTCTCGGAGATTAACATCTCACCTGCATCCTTTGCCCCAACGCTTTCCGGGTTCGCATGACGTCGTGGGCGAAGCTTTGTGACTATCCTCCGTAAAAGGTGCAAATTGTACAGTGCACTCAGTCGCTGAACAGTATCAGGTCGCAGGTCCCTGCGCGCTCTGGGAAGACAAGTCAAAGCATCTGGTCTTGAGACTCGCTCCGCGCGAAACTTGAGCCTGTGATCTCTATATTGACATAATCAAGAGGGCAATAATCCAACGCGTAAAAAGAAGAGGTGGCGGAGGGAGAAAGTATGTACATATACGTCCCATGCCTGCTTGAAGAGACCCCTGAAATCCTGGCTTCTCTGTGGTCATTGGGCGTTCCTACTGTTCTGACTGCGTACATAGGTATCTGCTATTCTCCTGCTGAAATTCGTAAGATCTGCACTCGGCGCTTTTGGGGTGGTATGCCGAGATTCATCTACGTACCTGCGCGTTTGCAAGACGTGATTAAAAAGTTGTCCGAGCGGTGTGAAATGCTCGTTGTATCCCGCATCATGGTGTGACGAACTGCTCTCATGGTTCGAGAGGGAATAATTTGCTTTCTTATAACTGAGCGTCGGGATGGAGGACTGGAAGATGAAGGGCTTGCCTGGCTAACATTACATTTGTAGCTAGTATTCCTCTGATGTTGAACTTTGAGGTGCCTTTTCGCTGTACTGAGGATGTCGTCGATGTACTCAATAAGGTGAAATTCAGGCATTCGCCATAAGACAAACATGTTCCTAACAAATCCAAAAGCCAATGGCGCGGAGGGGGGCACAACCGGGCAGGATAAAAGGCGAATCTCCATCACTTTGACGCTTCACTCCCCTCTGTCTTGGCCAATAGTTCCTCCACATAGGCCATGTAGTCCTTGTCCAACTGCTTCGCCGCATCCCGAAATTCAGTCTCAATCTTTTGGTATTCCACTTGGCACTTACGACGTGCCTCCTCCTCGCCAGCAGCGAGCAGCTCTGGAAACGCAGCCGTTTCCGACTTCATGTCGCCGTATTTGAAAGTAGCCCCAATGAAACCCCTTACGAAATGCTTTCTTCTGGCCCCAATATCCCATAGGGCACGATGTATTGTCTCTTTAACATCATTGATGTCGCTCTTTACGCGCTTGATCGCATCCGCCAGCACGCCATCTTGCTGAGTCAAGGCCGCCTCTCTGGCTTCTATAATCTGGCCTTTCCTGACGGTGTATTCCTTTATAAGTCGCACTCTTTCCGCATGTGGGTGCATTGCCAGGATCTTATCCATGATATGCTGAGGCATAGAAAGTGTCTCGTAGGGCACTGCGTCTTCTTTGGCCTTCCTGGGCGCGCTAATGGTTGTTTCATATGGAGGAGGACGTGATGCCTTTGTGTTCTTTTCCATGGCCCAACGTCATAAACGTGTTTTCTGGTATGTTCTTTTCTTTTTTCTTTTTCTCGAACAGGATGTTAGAGGCACAGTATGGGATCACAATGCTATATCAAAGGGGCATGAGCTTACCGCCAATTTCTCGTAGCCAGTTGAGTCGGGTAGTCTCGACGTGCCAATGTGTAGGGCTTGGAGTAGGTGGACGGACATGAGAAGCAGACTAGACGGTGATCGGAGTCACCTTTATATGCGTATTTGGGACTGAGATCAAGGTGCGCTTTTTGAGGTTGTGGCTGTCAAAGTCGTCGCCAAGATGGCGGGATTTGGGCTTGAAAACATCGAACCGAGATCTACGCCACATCCATACGAGAGGAGGACAGGCCGGCTGTGCCTCGTATTATCATGTACTGCAGTAATTCATAACAACTACTACAGATGGTTCTGGTCAGGCATTCACGGGCTGTGTCCTAGGCGTACATCTAATCACTTCATGGGCCCATGACACAAGACGTATATAGTGTTCCCTTTCTATTATCTGAACTTGCCATGCACACTAAAGCTAGAACACATGTATGAAGGCGCCCAATAAGCATTGTATTAAGAAGATCCCTGTTAGGGGAGGGCGACTCAGAAGTTGACGTGCAAATTGTCCAAATATCGCGGACCCTTCCGCAGACGAAGACGAAATCTCCCCCAGCTGTAACGCATCTCCAGAATCTTTTCCTTGATTCGAAGACGCAGGGACACCACCTCGTTTGCGGGTTCGACGACTCTTTGGTCGTCGACGGGCACCGCGAGGAACTCGAACTCTTCGTAAAGAAGAGAAAGGCTTTCGCCAGAAAACGACGGCGTCGCCGCTGCCTTTTTCATCGTGGTGGTGATGAAGGCCTTGTCGTTGTTGAAACGGAAAATGTCCCGTCGTGTGTCTTGAGGAGCGTTAGCGGCGTGATGGGATTCTTGTGAGGGGGGAAATAATGAGCTTACAGTTCATTTTGTTTTTTATTTTGATATAAAAAAAGACAAAAGTGGTTGAGGATGTGGAACGAGACGACGGACAAGAGGCAGGGAGTTGCTCTGGTGGACGACTTGAGTGAAGAGACCTCCTCAGGGGAAGGGGGCAATCCACGCCTATTTATACAGATGGAAAACGGCATTGGGAAGACTGAGGCTTCTTGTATGATACCGCGCGCGGCCTCTAACAAAATCAGACAAGTGTTCCAGAGAATGATGGCCTCAAACTGAAAGATGAGTTACATGACGCCTCGTTTAGCATTTTGACTTTACGGCTGGCGTAAAGCGCAGCAACCCAAAAAATAAGCTTAAAGCCAACAGAGATATTCGCCGTGAATTCTCCCGTCAACCAGCACTAGACTTTGACCTGAAAGACTCGGAAGAAGCGCCGAGCCAAGCCACAGGAAGTGCTGAAGACGCCGGCTACTGCTCGACAAGTACCCAGCCGCGGACCTTTTCCCCTTTCCACGGCCGGAGTAGGCAGTCTGAAAAAAGCAGCCGAAAGCCAGTGGCTGATTTCATCCTACTTCCGGCTCTTCATGTCCTACGACTCAGTCTCGAACACGCAGCCCTACTCGACCGTGGAAATGACATCCCTGACAATCCGTAACAGGCGCGCTTCGTGCTCGAGGAGACTCGTGAACCTCGAGGCCCATTATGTGGGCTCACGCTTACCAGCTCCTGCTGACTATCTGTATCTCAGGCTGTAGCAAAAGATTTGAGGCCGCCTTGTTGGGTGTTGGAAATCTACGTCGAGACACGGACTCCATTCTCAACGTGAAGGGAATCCAGTGCCAGCCCTGGAAGGGAGTCTCCTCGCCCCGTTGGCCATCATACCACGTCGTTGAGCGGTCTTAGTCAATAGCTTTTGCTTGGTATCGTTGACGGTGAAGGTCCCGATGCTGCAGGATGATGAACTAGCCCGGCCGTGGTCAAAGACAGAGCCCCTGAAGAAGCTGCCGCTGCCGCCATTGAAAGAGAAGAGCATCTTATGGGGGTGAAGTATCGTGTTGAGGGCGAAGTTGCTGTTTTGTGAATGTTGCGGCGGCATTGAGGGCAGATGTTGTCTTCTGTTGGGCTGTAGAGCTTGTATTCCTCGCCGAGACTTTTTTTGAGACGGCCTTGTCTGACCACTGTTGGCATATACTGGGAAAATAAAAATGACGAGCTGAAGCACCGTATTATAAACCGAAAGACGAGATAAGCGTTGGCAAAGCCGCTGTATGTTGAACTATGGTGGCTTTCAAGAGACAGGCCTTGCGAATATCATGAGGGCGAAAGTGGACGTTTCTCGTACTGGCAACAGTCTAACATTGTGTATGTTTGACCGGCCGCCTTGAAGAGTGTCAGATGCTTTAGTGGAAGCAGAAGATGTGTGTGTGTGACGAACAGATTGAATGATTTGCAAGCGCTCATCCCATCAGGAATTTTGATCAAAGCTTTCGAGTTTTGGCGCAAATCATGGGTCGAATGGAAGTGGGCAGTGCGACCTGAGAACATGAATTCCAGAGCTCAGAGGCCAAGAGAAGCTTTTTTGAAAGCGTCATTCAAATCAAACTGGGGACTCCCTACGACCTGTACCCTTTTCGTCTCAGATCTCGTCCCAGATCATTAGATTTTCATCAATGCTGCGAGTACTCGTCAAGCAATGACCACCAATTCCCTCACGATGCTGAAGCGGGCAGAAGACTCAATCTGGGAAATGTCCAAATACGGTAATCCACGGGCAAAATACGAGTAGTTAGACATGAGTGTGGTTGAAAGTGGAGTCCCGCGCATCGGAGCTACCGGGGAATCGATTCATTCCCATCTCCAATATAATATTTTGGGGGGAGCAAATCTTTCCGGTCACTGTCTCACAGCTGGTTTGCACTGTACGGAGATTAATACTACGTCAATTAGACACTCGACTTTCCCTCAGACTGTGGCCTTGTACTAGTAAGTCCCAATTGCCAAGGGTGCCTCGTCTTTCCGCTGGTATGATCATCTAGGAGCTGGTCTCTCATGCTGCTTTGCTTGTGAGTGTGTACGATAAGTATCTCGTGATGTTGTTTGGGCTTGGAATTGAACAGAAAGAAACCGGTGACATCAGCACATGCTGAAAGTATACAGCAATATAGACCAAGTTAAGGACGAATAGTATCTCTCACTGTTGGTAAAGTCCATCAGGTAAAGATAGTATTGGACCCTTTGACCTTGTGTAAGGAATGTCAAAGCCAATCATGCCAAGCGGATAAACATAGAGTCAATATTACTATACACACAGCAAGAGGTTTTGAAAGCTGCAGCAGGTAATAACAGAATCGTCAAGTCGTAAAATTTGTGGGTATTATGAAAAAAGTGCTCGTCTAGCCTCGTTATGCAAAACAGAATCTCTATCCGCCTTCTCAACCGTCACCTCTCGACTGGATACAAAAACGGATCGCTATAAGAAAGCAGCTCCTCGCACGTCGGCCGCATGTGGTGGTCCCGGTTCAGGCACCGCCGCAGCGTCCGGATGAGCGAAGGCGGCACGGGAGCACCGCCCATGCCGCGGGAGGGGAACTCAATGTGGTGGTCCCAGTTGATGATGGCCTGGCACCTCGCCATCTGGTTCGCAATGTGCCCAAAGGGCGGCAAGCCGTAGACCATCTGGTAGAGAATGCAACCCAGCGACCAGACGTCGCTCGACTTGCCCAGCTTCATAAGCTTGGGCCGGCCAGGGATTCGACCGCCGCGCGGGTTGTTGGAGTCTAGCAGGGACTCGGGCGACATGTAGTTTGGCGTGCCCACCTGCGTCTCTCGGTGAACGTTGACGGTCTCGTCGGTCTGGATGGCGTTGGCGATGCCAAAATCGATGAGCTTGAGCCTGCCCTTGACGAGGACGAAGTTGGCGGGCTTCAGGTCGGAGTGAACAATGTCGTGCTGGTGGACGGCGTGCAGGCACTCTAGCATCTCTTTCCAGTAGAAGCGTACAAACACCGAGTCGAATCTGGACGTCTCGGGGCCCTGGCGGCTTGCCAAGAGCGTATTCAGGTCTCGTTCTCCCATTTCCATAACCTGAAGATTGCCACTTGGTTAGCACACCTCTCATCAGTCAACTCTCGGCTTGTCCTAGTGTACTTACCAAACTCAGTACCTGCTTCTCCGTGTTCATCTCGTAGGCGTACAAATTAATCACTCGATCAACTCCCTCGAGCCTCGAAAGGAGGTCAATCTCGCCCTTGTAACCCCGAATGGTCAACTCGTCGGCGTTCTCCAGGGCCACGCGCTTCAGAGCAAACATCTGGCCGTTCTCGGCGGTTACGCGATAGACCTTTGCGCTGCCGCCGCGGCCCAGGCAGTCGAGCCTGGTGTACGTCTTTCCATTCACCCGCAGCACGTTCCTCCGCTGCCTCGTCGAGGTGGCAGCAGCTGCGGCTCCCGTGGCTGACGTGGCCGCCTCCAGGACAGACGACATCTTGGGAGGAGGCGGCGGAGCAGCCCGCTTAGGTGTGTTGTTGGCCACGGGTGCCAACGGTCTGCGCTCGGGTGAAGCCGGCCGGGCAAAGACAGGCGCAGGAGCAGGGTCAGCGCTCAGAGGTCGTTGCGGAACCTTATCCACCCGACCTTCGAGGGAAGACCTTTGGCGCTTGTAGCCTGCACGACCGTTGTTTTCTTGATCGAGTGATGAAGGCACATGGGGCCGAAGTACGGATTTCCTATATGGTATTTCTTCTTCTTCCTCCTCCTCCACTCCTCGTGCGTCCTCCTTTTCTCTTTCTATTGGCTGGTATCTCTCACTTTCCTGAGGCTGGTATCGCTGCGCTTCTGGCTCGAACTCAGTATCTCTCGGCGAGGGACGCCCCGATTCGGGCTGGGAACTCATGCTGGACTGGTGTCTCCTATGAAGTGCTCTAGCCGAAGCACTGGCGCTGACGGGACTTCCCGAGTTATAGTCGCGGATTCCATCGGGGTAGTAGGCTATTTCTGGCGTGTCACCCATTTGGTGGTTTTCTGGGTCACGGTTGGCGTCGTATCGATCCATCTCCCCTTCTTCTTCGGCGTCGTCTTCGCTCTGCCTCCGCCTGCCACGCCGAGCAGGTCCGCTGAGGAACGTCCCCGGAATCTTGCCAACGCGCTTGACGCGCATCGAGCTCTGCAGGTTGGCATTCTCCTCGAGTCGGCCCCTGGCCGAGCTGTACCGCGAGATGCTGCCATAGCTAGCGAGTGGTGCTTCATTCCGTGCAACGGTTTCCGGGACCTTGTCCGGCTCGTAATCGTCCACCTCAATGGCAGACCTGTCGGCAACAGAGCGATCAAAGGACCGCCCCGACGACATGCCCGTTGACCCGACTCTACTGCGGTTGCCCGACGAGTTTGTTGAGATTCTCACCACGCGGTTCCCGTGCGCGGGTGTATTGATGTCCGCCTGTAGATCCGGCTTCTTGTCGGCAAAGTCTTCTCTGCTAGGCGGCCGGCTGTTCTGCTGATGGCGCTGTGTTGATCGGGAAAAGGAGCTTGAGCGCCTCTTGGAAGGCTGGATCTGGCTCAGGCTCTGCGAAGTGCTGCTGAGCCTCACCACCCGCTTCCTCGTTACGGGGCTCGCACCACGCTCCCTGACGGGACTCGAGGGCCTCGATGTTTTGCCCTCAGCGCGCTGTCTACTGGAAGATCTCAGACTCCTCTCTCGGTCAGGCACAGCAGGCGTCGTCGTGTTCAATTGGCTGGTCCGCCTTCGCGTCTGTGGTGGTGAGGTCGATCGCTCTGCGGCCTGGGCGGCCTCGGGCTCGCCATCGTTGAGCAGCGCTTTGGTGAGGGCGCTGAGCTTCATAGGCACGGGAATCTCATCCTCGGAGCTGTCGTCGTCGAACTGTTTTGCGTTGCTCCGGGCTTGCATGGCGGAGGCATGATGGCTTTCGCTCCTGGTCAGGAATGCTCGTGACGGCAGCTCGCGCAGGGCCTGCTGTCGCTGCGAGGACCTGCGGATAGGGCCGGCTGCCATTGGCGTTGGCGACGCCGCAGTCGCCATGTTTTGGTGGTGGTCTCTTCTAGGTTGGCGGTCAAGCGAGGGTGGAATCGCAGGAGGCGAGCAATTGGCGGCTGGCGGCTGGCGAATGGCGGAATAAGTATTCTCGAGGCGCAGCTTCCTTGCGGTCCGTGAGTCGCAGGTGGTGAAGAGGCCGGCAGCTGTGTCGCGTAGGGGTGGATGGCCCAGGATGATGAGGTGAGGAGCGGAGAGAGCTGGAGCTGCCGAGTCGAGATTCCCAGGATTATTTTTGGGGTTCGTTGTTTGCGAACCACGGCAGCCAATCAGCGGCGGGCCGGTTGCTGTGGGCAACGAACGATCCAGGCACAGGCTGAACCGGAAGCGGCGCCAACAGCGCTAAACTGCAGGGAGGGAAATGCGCTGCTCTGCTTCTTGGAGAGGCTGCTCAGGCCTGTAATGATGCCTGGGTGACTGGATGCAGGAACGAGACAGCAGAGCCGCTGTTGCTGGCGGTGGTGAAGCGGTGATAATGATGATGATGATGCAGGAGATGGATTCGCAGCTCTCTGGCGGGCGAGATACGGAGCGGTACTTGAGGGGCCGTGGCAAGTCTGCAGGTGTGACGTGGAGCTGGCAAGTACTGGTACTGAAGACGCTTGTGTCGGTTTCGCAGTCGAGTTTGGCACGTGTTTTTCTAGCCTTGCCTAGATGGAATGTAAAAGAGTTGCTCAACGCCAGCGCCATCCACTCGAGACTTTTAGCTGATAGGCCACTCTCGTCCAGTAATACTAGGCATGTATCTCTTGGAACCTGCAGTTCCGCAGGAAAACCAGCCCCTGTGCCGTCTTGATAGCCTGATTTACAGCATCAATTGAACGCCATTGCGGGCAACAAGGGGTCGGAAGTAAACACTGCGGTGACTGACTGCCAGAGTACAAAGCCTAGCCATACTCCGAGCTACAATAGCAGGCATCTTTCGCCATATCATGACCAGACAACCTTGCAACTGGCCTCTCTCAGTTGATGTACATACATGTATCATTTACCCATCATCACCACTTGCAGCTTCCGCCATCCCCTGCCGTACCGGTACATACATTCACTGGCTGCCCAATTCCCGCCCGGAATGACCCCGAATCCCCGCCCAAGCCGGCCCGCCCCATATTCCGCTGCTCCAGACTGCCAGTCTGTGACAGCCTCGAGCTTGACACTTGACATCTGGCTCCATTCCAATTTCTCCGGGAGATCCAATCCAGCTTCAACCACCACCCAATAATTGCTAATTGTTCCGTGGCCTCTTGATCCACGTCCCCTCTTTCTTGGCGTACTATTACTTCTTTTGATACTGTTGAGGTTCTCTTCTGCTCTTTCTTTCGTCAATTGGCTACCTCCTCCTCCTCCTCCTCCTCCCTCCGTCGATGCTGGCATCATGACCGTTCCATATGGCGGGAGCCCAGGCTTTCGCGCCATCTCCTTGATGCTGCTTGTCGTGGCCCTCTTTGCCGGCGCCAGCTTCGCTTCCGTCGGCGACCAGCTGCCCGAGTTCAAGCAATGCCTTGACGTGCGTCTGCCCTTGCTCACTGCTTCATGCTGCGCGCCATCGTTTGCTGACTGCTCATGCCTTGCTCCAGATCTGCAAAGCCGAAAACTGCGCTCCCGGCAAAGCCACTCCCATCCGTACGCGCCTCTCTCTCTCGCGAGCCGATTGCTAAACGAGCACACGATATGAACGCAACAGACAAACGGATTGCTGACAACGATCCCAGCCCTGGCCCGGCGCCTCCTCCTCTGGGACTGCTCCGCAGAATGCGACTACGCCTGCCAGCACATCATCACGGCCTCGCGCGTCGCCTCGGACCTCCCCGTCGTCCAGTTCCACGGCAAGTGGCCCTTCTACCGCTTCCTCGGCATGCAGGAGCCCTTCTCCGTCCTCTTCTCCCTCGGCAACTTCTGGGCGCACTGGCAGGGGCTCAAGAAGGTGCGCGCCCGCATCCCGGCCGGCTACTCGCTGCGGCCGTACTACGAGGCCTTCTCGTACTTTGGCCTGGCCTCGTGGGTCTTCAGCTCCATCTTCCACACGCGCGACTTCGCCGCCACCGAGCAGCTCGACTACTTCGCCGCCGGCGCGTCGGTGCTGTACGGCATGTACTACACCCTGGTGCGCATCTTCCGGCTCGACCGCCCGTCGCCGCGCCGGCGCTCCGTGCTGCGCGCCTGGACGCTCCTGTGCATCGTGCTGTACGCCTGCCACGTCGGCTACCTCAAGGGCGTCAGCTGGGACTACACGTACAACATGGCCGCCAACGTCGTGCTGGGCGTCATCCAGAACGCGCTGTGGAGCTGGTTCAGCTTCGACCGGTACCGCAAGTCGCGCCGCGTGTGGGCCATGTGGCCCGGTCTGGCCGTGGCCTGGGTCATGTTTGCTATGAGCATGGAGCTGTTTGACTTTCCGCCGTGGCTGGGCTGCATCGACGCCCACAGCTTGTGGCATCTGATGACGATTGGGCCGACCATTCTGTGGTACAAGTGAGTATTACCCTTTGGATATGAATGATGTGCCTTTGCTGATAGCTTGTGACAGCTTCCTCGTCAAGGATGCCAACGATGACATTGCCGGCAGCGATAGATTAAAAGCATAACATAGAAGCGAAGAGGAGGAATTGAAAGCCGGCACGAGGTTGGCTTGACTTAGAGAGCGAGAGTAAGGTATAAATATCACCAAGTGTGTGTTGAGCGAGGCTCCTTGGATTGGCCGCGCTCGATTGGATAAAGTCCCCTTGCCGTATTATAGTGATTCTTTACCCTGCCGCCATATAATCATGCGGAATTATACAACAATAATTGACGTACTGCGATACCACTCTCGGTAAACAGGAGCATCTTTCGCAAAAAAGACAAATGCGATAGCCAAAGAGGTACTGAATGAGTAGCTCTGGCGAAATTTAGTCTTGTGAGAATCCCGTTGCCATCCAAAGACCCATCCATGTCTTGCCTCCATAACCCCTTTTATTCTTCGATACTCCAAGCATGAAGCTTCTGCTACTGGTTTGAATTATGAAAGGTAGATACCTAGGTAGACTACCCCTTATCCAAACACGAGGTGGATAATGTGAAATTGCAAGACAGAAGAAAACAAGAAGAAAGTCATCGCATCATTGCAGCCAGGGTATACTAAAGGTCAAACCAGAGGAATAAGGTAATAAAAGTCGAAGGAAAAAGAGCCGCCATCATGAACTCAGCAGATCCCTCACAGACAGCGCCCGATAATTATTACCATTACCATTCCTCCCCACCGTCCCCCTCCTATCACAGTTGAGCATCAGCAGCGCCGCCGTAGCCTCGTGGTCGAGATCCGTCTGCGGCAACAGCGCCGGGCTCGTCAGCGTCGACCCGGATGCAGACGTGCTGCCATACGCACCATTGCTGCCAGCAAACAGCTGCGGCCCAAAGGCGGGCGACGTCGTCGTCGTCGTCGTCGACGCGCTGTAGCTGTAGCTGTAGCTGTAGTGCCGCTGGTCTGCCGCCGCCGCCGTCGACGACGACACGGACGAGTACGAGTGCTGCCGGTAGCGCGAGTCCTGGGCGTGCAGCGCGGGCGAGACGGACACTGACGTTTGCTGGTTCTGCTGCTGATGATCATGATGATTATGATTATGCTGCTGTTGGGGCGCAAAGACGGGCGACGGCGCAGCGTCCGAGTCAGTCATCTCGACGTCGGCCGGATCCTCATCGCGAAACGTCGGGTGGAACGCGCGGATGGGCGGCAGCGGGCTGTGGGACGACGAGGACGAGGCGGCTGCGGCCTCGGGACGGCTGCTGCTGCTGTTGCTGTTGGTCTTGGCCTGCTCCTGCTGGGCCTTGAGCTTGGCGACGCAGTCTTCCAGGTAGCGGACGTATTCAATCGAGGCCTTAAAATGATAAAGATGTGTGAGAGTTTGGGGGAGAAAAAATGGATCCAATTGACCAAGGGCAGAAAAGGGGGTGGGCAAACCTGTAAGATGGCCAGCTTGTGCATCTCGCCGGTGCACGCGGGAATCATGCTCTTGAGCAGCGCAAACTCCTCGTTCATCTTGCTGCGCCGCCGCCGCTCAATCAGGCTGTGGGCCGTCTTGCGCGCAATCTTCCTGCCGGCGGCGCTGGTCGCGCTGGGCTGCTTCTTCCTGGTGGAGGAGGAGGAGGAGGAGGAGGGCTCGCCGCTACCCTTGGCCGAGGAGGAGGCGGCCCCGGTTCCGGCTCCGGGCCCGGCGTCGGCGGCCGTCTTGGCGGCGGCGGCTCTCCCGGTAGCGCGGCCGGACTCCCTGGTGGTGGATGCCGCCGAGTGGGCGCCGGCGGCGGTGCTCTGCTGGGTGCGCGGCTTCATCTGGATAATCTTCCTGGACCGCGTGGGCGGCGGCGGCAGGGCAAAGGTGCTGCTGCTGCCGGCGGTGGTGGCCTTGCCGGAGGACGCCTTGGAGGAGGAGGAGGAGGAGGAGGTGGTGGTGGTGGTGGTGGTGGTGACGGCGGATGAGCGTCTGCGGGACTTGACCGTCTCGGCCGCCTGCATGGGATACAGGGTCTTGGGCGAGGTAGCAGTGTCCAGGCCTACTAGGCCCGTGTTTGCACTTGTCGTGCTTGAAAGAGGAGGATGGGGATGAGGAGGGGGAGGAGGAGGAGGAGGAGGACAGCTGGCGGCGGACAAGGGCGAGAGCTTGGGGTCGACGGGGGAGGCATCGTGGATTGCCGGCGGCGGCAGCTCAAAGGCCAGCTGCAGGGACGCGAGCTGCTGCGCGCCATCCTTGCCCCTGATATCGGACGAGGAGCCGGGCGTGGGCGGCAGCGCTGGGCGAGGCATGGCCACTTTTGTTCGGGTAGTATCTAGTAGCGTACCTACTGTACTATCGTGCGGATGACGAATCTCTGCAAGTCAAAACTTGGGGGGGTGTGTCAGGTGTGAGTGTGAGTGTGAGTGTGTGTGTGTCTTTGTCGTGCAAGCCTGGATCTGGCACGTCTGAATCTCTCGGCCAGGCTCGGCGATCCGCAGGTCGCAGCTTTCTTGAACTGACGACTGGGTGTATAACACGAGATGCACCACCACCAGCAGCAGCGCCGTTCTATCTAGCGGGCACTAGAGAATCGATGGGCTGAAACTGAATTGGGAGTGAGCTGAACTTGGATAACGCGGCAGCTCGTGAGGCGCAGTTCCCCAATCGAAAAACCTCTCTCTCCCCCCCCTTAACCGGTCCCGGTCTTTTTGAGAGCAGGGGAGCTGGCAGCAGATACTATCTGATGCTGAGTGACGACAGCGGCACCACGCCTTTGACGAGGGTGGAACAGGATCGAGAGAGCAAGGCCTTCTTTGGGGGGGTTCGGCCAAGAAGGTTCCCTGAGCAACGGCGCACCAGAATCTGCGGGCGACGGTGCGTTAAGACGCCAGAAAATGCGGGTTTAAATCGAGTTTTTTTCCCTTGGTGTCTCGATGCAAGGGTCTTTGTTTGGGCTGCAGCTGGTGATTTGGCAGAGATAAGCTTTGGGAGAGTTGTGGTTTTCGTTGGCGTTGCAGCTTTGTGTGATAATGTGCGTTGCTGTTGTATGGTCCGCCACGCCCTTCGGATCGGATATGCTGTGTGCTTTGTACGCAGTAGCCCTTGCAATCGGTTGTGTGACCGGGAGAATGTCGAAAGGGTAATGGATTGACAAAGTCCAGAAGAAGTAAACTGGTGGTCGGTGACAGGACAAGTGCTGGCGATGAAAAATGTTGTCGTTGGATATTGGGGGAAGACGCCCGAATTGGTGATAGGTGGGCAGGTATCACGGCGGAAGCACAAGGGCAGCGGGTGGGCACGAGACCACTTATGCACCTTGCATCGAGGGCAATGGAGCTCTTCTGTGAAGATGATCAAGTAAAGTGAAGAGTAAAGGGGAAAGAAAAGAAAGGAAGAGGAGGAATTACACGAAGACAAGAAGAAGAGGAAGAGGAAAAGGGCGAGAGAGGGCGAGGTGAGACTGAGGGCAGAGGAACCAAGTGACACAGGCTCCCGCTGCCCATGGCGACTTTATCTCGCTTTTCAGGTAGACTGTACGAAGGAGTCCGTCCCTTGGGCGGTGCTCTTTCCGATGAGGCGCTTCCGTCGAGGAGGACGAGGAGAGTCAATGGTTAGGTAGGTACTTCGTAGTTGATACAAGCACATGGGAAGCACACACACACTTCCCCCTTCCTACCGCTCCCTCTTCCGCCCTCCAAACCCCCCCCCTTTCTCATCTCCTCGCTCCTCGCACTCACTCCGCCAAATTGGTACTACTAGTAGTATAAACGTCGACAAAAGCCCTCGAGTCCCAAAACGACCATTGACAACGTGCCTCGTTGAATTGACCAAGCATCATCCAGCAAAGTGTCGCGTGCTCTCCATGGTGTCGCCGCCGAACCGACGAATCAGCGGCCCGGACCAGCCCATGTGGGCGAGCCCGCCTCCACGACCCCCTTGTGAACCACCCTGCAAGCTCTCTTGATGTCTCTACTCCATATCTCTCTCTCTAGATATATTAGTAGTAGTACATATTACATGTTATTCTGCTGCTGTTTTGACTCGCTCCGATGGTCCCACTTGCCGTCTGATGCAGACGGATTGCCGACCTCTCAGACCTCGCCGGTGAGTCTCGTGCTCTCGTGCGAGCTAGAGAGAGCCATGGATGACAAGGGGAGGGGGCTGAGGCTTGTAGCGGAAGAGTTTGGCTGGATATGCTGATGGAATGCAATACAATTGAAATGTCATCGGAGATGGCTCGTCGATGAGTTGGTAGAATTAAACTCATCTTCACGGTGTTGATGCAAATCGTACAAAGTCTTACTCTACCTAATTACCGCTTTCGTACAAGATAGATGTAGTACTCGTTTCACATGCTCCAGCACAAAAAGTAGTGTAAGCACGTGTCAGGTCCCATCAATCACCCAATTGCAAAGGGCAAAGGCTCAAGACAAAACATCACCCGATGCAATTGGACGGACATGTCTCCTCCTCAAGGCAACCATCCATTAGTAGGTATCATCATCTAGTATCAGGTATCTTGCTTGCTTGGTTTGGGGAAACAGATGACGATGCACGGACCCCACGGGCATGTTGGCGGGAGGGATCGATAACCACGTTGGACAAGCTCGCGTGTCCTGTGGACCAAAACTTGGCTCAACTTCCTGGGGTATCAATGACACTACGGTACGTGATGTGATTACAGTGGGCAGCGCCACACAGCACTACTAACGAGAGGGGAGAAGAATTTGACCCTTTTTTTTTTGTGTGTTTCTCTTGGGTCGTGGTTTATTGTGAAGAGATGGGGGATTGTCAGGCATGAACTGTGGTTGGACAATTCCAATGGAAGAGAGTCTCGGATCCCAAGCTGCAAAGAATATTTGTTGTCTATATAGCAGCAGTAGCAGGCGCAAAAGCTGTAATGAGATTGGATAGTTCATCTAGTAAGCCTGCTCATCGAAAGGGGACCGGCATACACAGCAGAACTCCAGATATTCGTAGACTAGGTACTACAAGCGACCCGCATTAACAAAGCACTTCAAAGCTACCACCTATACCATCCATCAAGAACGCGATATTCTCTTTCAAAAAGCCAACTCAACCAACAATTACAATAATTGGCTTCATTCAACAAGCAATTGCAAATCAAGCCTACCTATTCCACAACACTAATTAGATTAAAGTAAAATTCTAATGAAAATGACTGATGACGAACGCATACAGCCAGCCATCAAGGTACTTGACGTATTCCTCTCTGCTCGGAGCTGACCTCGTTTATACGAAGACCAAGAGGCAGTGCCTTCAACTTGCCTCTCCAGTTATTCCCCCCTTGTAGCCAATTTTAAGTCAGACGCCCTTCCCCAAGGTTCAGCCTCATGCTGTCAAATTCCATATTACAAGTGTTAACTCTCGTGTGCATGAAGGTTTTAACTCGGCTAGTAGAATCACACTTGCAGTCCTGGGATAGTCGTGTGCCTCCGGTCCTGGGCGTCAAAAGTGTGTCGCGTGTTTGGGAGGAATTGGCATTGCACTTTGAAAAGAAAATATCGGGGACAAGTAACACAGCGCACGAGCAGACATTCTATCACATTGATTCACCTGATTGCACGAGGACCTGATTCATGTACATAATGTGATGTATGTAATAATGTATCATTTCAAAGAGAATCATACCTAGGTATGCATTGCACGGATCCTCATCGCTCAACGCCAGCAGCATCCTACCCTAGATGCCTAAATTCACAACAACGCAAAAAAAAAAAAAAAAAAGCACAAACCAAAAACAACAACGCCGCCATCATCATTGATCCCTCAATCTCAATTCTCCATCAGCCTCGGCTTCACACCTCATTGCTGGGATACAGCACCTCGGTCGTCGCCACAAACTCCTCCTTGATGGACCGGATGTTGACGAAGCGCGTCAGCAGGTTGGCGCTGCCCGCCTTGTCGTCGGTGCCGCTGGCCCTCGCGCCGCCAAACGGCTGCTGCCCGACGACGGCGCCCGTGCTCTTGCAGTTGATGTAAAAGTTGCCCGCCGCGTTGCGCAGCTTCTCCTCGGCGAAGCGCACCGCCTGCCGGTCGCTGGCGAAGACGGACCCCGTCAGCCCGTACTCGGACGTCGAGTCCACCAGCTCGCACACCTTGGCCAGCGCGTCCGGCGCCGCGTCGTCGTACACGTACGCCGTCAGGATGGGGCCGAAGAACTCGGTCGACAGGAAGCGGTGCGCCGGGTCCGTCGTCTGGTAGATGGTCGGCTGGACAAAGTAGCCCCTGGACGAGTCGTACGAGCCGCCAAAGACGAGCTCGAGGCTGCCGTCGCCCTTGGCCTCGTCGATGGCGCCCGCGAGCTTCTTGAACGAGGCCTCGTGGATGACGGGGCCCATGAAGTTGGCGTGGTCCCAGGGCACGCCCTGCGCGAGCTTCTTGGTCTCGGCCACCATGCGCTCCCTGAACGCGGGCCACACCGACCTGGCGACGTAGAGGCGCGACGTGGCGCTGCACTTCTGGCCCTGGTACTCAAAGGCGCCGCGCACCGTCTGCACCGCGGCGTTGTCGACGTCGGCCGACTCGTGCACCAGGTGGAAGTTCTTGCCGCCCGTCTCGCCCACGACGCGCGGGTACGACCGGTACCGGCCCTCGGCGACGCCCTGGCCAATGGCCCCAAACAGCTTGCGGAAGACGGCCGTGCTGCCCGTGTAGTGCAGCGCCGCGAACTCGCGGTGCGCCAGCACCGTCTTGGTGATCTCCTCGGGGTTGCCCGGCACGAACTGGATCACGTCCTTGGGCAGCCCCGCCTCGAGCAGGATGTTGTACACGAGCCAGTTGGACGCGATGGCGAAGTCGCTCGGCTTCCACACCACGACGTTGCCCATGAGCGCCGGCGCCCCCGGCAGGTTGCCCGCGATGGCGGTGAAGTTGAAGGGGCTGACGGCGTAGACGAAGCCCTCGAGCGGGCGGTACTCGAGCCGGTTCCACACCCCGGGCGAGTGGTGCTCGGGCTGCTGCGCGTACAGCTCCTGCGCGTACTGCACGTTGAAGCGGAAGAAGTCGGCCAGCTCCGCAGCCGCGTCAATCTCCGCCTGCCACGCGTTCTTGCCCTGGCCCAGCATCGTCGCCGCCATGATGTCGTACCGGTACTTGCCCGAGATCAGGTCCGCCGCCTTGAGGAAGACGGCCGCGCGGTCCGCAAAGGGGAGGGCCTCCCACGCGGGCTTCGCGGCCAGCGCGGCGTCAATGGCCTTGGACACGTCGGCGGGCGTCGCCGTGTGGTACGAGGCCACGATCTTGGAGTGGTCCGACGGGTTGAGCTGCCGTGAGAGGGCCGAGGTTT